TGCAGCTTCTCACCAAAAGACTTCCATGCACTCTACGCTTCAGCATGCCACATGTCCCACTGATCTCAATCCAATGGCCTTGATCTGGAGACTATCATGTGCATAAGTCAGACGTGCCACACGTGACCACCAAAAGTCAAAGAGGCCTTAAAACATTGGGCCTAATTACTGGCCAAATACCTCCAAACTGGGGTCAACACCCCCAAGGGTTTGCATTTCTTTTCTTTTTCCTATTCTTTATTATTTGTTTTAATTTAATTATTTCCCTTTAATTTATAAATTAATATTTTTCATAACATAAAAAATAATAAAAAAATCAGAAAGTCAAAAATAGAAAATATATTTTATTTAAATATCATTTTTGTAAATAAATTGTATTAATTAATTTAGTTAATTCTAGGTTTAAATTTTAATATTTTTTCTTAACAAATAAAAAAGGTTAGAATTAGGGTTAATTAATTTTTCTTTTTTTAAATTCCAATTTAATTTTCTTACTAAAAATCCATAAATACAAAAAACTCAAAAAAAATAACTTCTCTTTTCTCATTAAATTTAATTAATTTCATAATTGTAATTTAATTTCCTTAAAAGGGTCCAACGCCCTCGCATTCCCGATTTTACTTATTCTCGCATTTTATTTTATTTCCTTTTTTCATGTAATTCTCCCAAAGCCATGTAATAGAATAATTAGGATATTTATTTTTCGCACTTTATTTTATTTCAAATCGGGTCCTGGATTAATTTGGCGATATGGACCCGCGCCTTTGTAATAGCGTAGGACTTTTAATTCTCGTATCCTTTAACTGTTAATTAACCTGCATGAAAGAATGAATGTCAAAAAATAAAAGCAACGCGTAGATCACCAATCCATGCACAAGATAAACATAAATGAAAACGACACACAAATCACACACCACCCCTAGGGTACGCCTCACTGTTGCCTTGCCCCTCGAAAGGTGATCGTCGAGTAGAGGACGTTTTAGTAAGTCCTCATGTCCATGAACATGGCATGAGGGTAGCTTCTAAGGTGCCCTCCTATTGCTCCGGTGATCACCATGTCCCGAACCCTCGAATTGACCCGAACACCTCCAACGGTGGTGCTACCTACCTCTCAATGGTGGGATGGCCCTACTTTAAGGACATTTACACAGACGAATTCCTTAGGGTGGGTAGAGAACTCGTAGATACTTGCTCTAATTTCAAAACAAATCAAAAAATACTTTTCACACCAACACTTTTCAAAAAGCTTTCGAAAGCAACTTTTCAAACACTCTTGAGGACCGATACAAGAGTCGAACTAGAATTTTCAAAGAAACTTTTTAAACTCACAGTTGAAAAGCAAACAAAACATTTTGAAAACACAAATGAGCAAGTATCTAAGAGCCCATGGATAACCATGGATAGAAAGGGTGCTAACACCTTCCCTTTCTATAAATCTACCTCCCGAACCGAGAGCAATCTCTATAAGGAATTTTTCTGTGCTTTTGTCCTGTCCATGTTGGAGAAAATAAAAGACGGTGGCGACTCTTGCTTCCGCGACATTTCGCGAACCAGCTTTAAAACAGTCAGTTCCAGATCTACCGATCACAAACATCATTTAGGACATTAACCTTTCTTCACATATCCCAATAATTTGGTTCTTGATTTATCAACCAAAGAAATTATTACGCTTTATAGTATTTTTAGAAGAATATCATAAAATATTACATCTTCTACGACTTATTCAGGTTGATACAGCCACCTCAGATAAGTACTCATCTCCCGACAGGGTATTTGTCATCAGAAGGAAAAAAACTTCCCCACACACACAATTGCAGATGATACTCCTTTTCAACAGATGTTAGAGCACTTGAACTGACATCCTTGTTCTTCATCGTTCAACACAAGAGGATCCTTTCAACATTTCATACTTGGTCATAGACTGGTCTTCAGCTCCATCATGATCAAACATTCTAACTTTAAACGTCACTAGTGAATGATAATACTCACCTCATGATCTACACAATAACTTCCTTTTTAAAGGAAGAACACACTTAGAGATGATGTCCCAACATCAGATACGACATCATCCATTCTTACTATGGTTCTGAGGGTAACTTTCATAGTAACTTATAATCAACTCTTGTGGGGGTTAACACAAGGAAACAAACCAAGAACAACTGATCAATCTTCAGGATCAGACTACCAACATATACAGGGGATTGCACGATTCACATCTCAATAAGCTTTTCTTTGGACCTCATGTCTGAATTTGAGACGATGGATGCCATTTTCAAAAGCATATGTTTCCCTTGATTATTCAAATACAATGCCCTTCAAATTTTTACATATTCAAATATATCATGACATTCTGTTTGACATCATATCAACCCTTGACAAGGGGATATTTTTCAACAACTTCTAAGGGTACACAAAGAGAATCACCAATTCTCTTCCTTAGGGGAAATTAAAACAATACTCAGGAGCATCAAACACTATGGTTGGATCACAATACTCCTCTTCAAACATAATATGTTATATGGCCACAAATAGGATTCCATGAATCTGGTACCTTTGATTAGAAGAATCTTTCAGATACGAGCTCATATCATAAAGGATCTGGTGGAGATTCCTTTATGTGTTCTTCTCAAGAACATTGAGCTCAACCTCTATACTCCCACAAGCCTTGGTCAGAAATAAACTGACACATGGAGTAGATAAACTGTTTATCGTGTCCTAATCAACCTGCACAAACCAGATGCCCCCTCTTCCATATCAGAAGTAGGTTCCAAACAAAAGTATTCATAGCATTGTTGTTCAACACCCAAATCATATGTTCTTCAACTGGTAGTTGCATACCTACTGAAATAATGTTCTAACATCCCATAGAACATCAATTTCTTCTTCTTGGAACACACCATCCTTGACAGTCTTCAAGGTCAATATACAGATGTATATGATCATCATTGATCAATTGATTCTCATCAACCTTATTGATAAATGTCTCTATGAGTGGACTTGAGGAGAATATCAAGTATCTTTAACACTTTTAATACGGTTGAAAATGTCAGCATATATTATGTTGAGGGTAACAACCCCAATATCCTTCCCATACTTTCAGAGTTATATCAGAAATCATGCAGCGGAATATAACGAACTCCTCAACAATATTCAGACACAATGCTTACACCACTATCCAAGTACATGCATGGAAACCTAGAATTGAAAAAATAAATCCTACATACATCAGCTTCCCACAAGCTGCAGGCCTGATGGCAACAGCCAAGAACAATACCTGTCACATATAACCAATGATCCTTGCCAAGAGATCAACCATACAGTAGTATGAATTGTCCAAGTTCGTACCTCTTTTCAGTAAATACTTTCTTCCTTGCCCATGACCAGAAAATACCTTCCCAGGATCTCACCCAGAACAGAACAGGATGCATGCTCTGATACCAATTGAAATTCTGGCACAACAGACTTAGATGTCCTACAAGGATGTCGAGACATCTGATGTGACATAAACACACAGGCAAGATAAAACAATACTGAAAAGATAAAGAACACACCAGAATTGTTTACCCAGTTCAGTGTACAACAACACCTACTCTAGGAGCTACCAAGTCAAGAATGAAGTCCACTATTAGTAGTATCAATTTGCAGACCCTACAGCCAACACACCCATTGACGATCCATGCACTTAATCACTACCTAATGACCCTTCTACCTAGGTCCTCCCTAGATATGGAATATCCCTATCCCAATTCCAATCATCACAATGATGTCTAGCAGTCAACACCTCAATCACTGCATAAACGACCCTTCACCCATATTCTGATCACATAGATAAACAGTTTGGAAGACATACTTCCATGACAACCTAGCTAAGTATCTAAGACAAACTCCATTGTTTGTTAGCTCTTCTCCTAACACATCCTGGAGTTTCTTCAAAGCTTCCTCCAAGAACAATACACCTCTTACCTACAAGCTTCGAGGTGAACTTGCTAACCTTCCCACAACCCAAGAGGTTTACCTTGACAAAACTCTAGACTTCTACATCTTGATCCGTATTTTTTATAGGTTACAAACCCTTCTATTTATGACCTGTTACCCAACTGGTTTTGGGCTTTCAATCACAACAAATCAGTTGTAACAAACTGCAGAAACTTCTGCCCCAAGAAATGTCTTCAATATTTTCTTTCCTAAATAATCTCCTTATTTAGAAAGTCTTCATTCTCCTTGATTTCTGATTGAATTTTCTAGAACTTTAAATATGCGCCACATAGGATGCATAATATTCTCCTGAATATTCTGCTTATGTTAAGAACAAACCAAATCACATTAATCCAGCTCAAGAGGCGCGATGTCAAGACATTTCTTTGACATGTTGTTCCAGTTCAACACAACATGTTCTGACATTGTAATATGACTTCTTATTGTACCTGTTCTTCTTAGCAAGTTTATACATTCTATTCTATATTACATTATTGCTGCTATTATTTCTTTTACAAAATTAAGCCAATCCTAAAACAAGAGAACTAACAGATTCAAACATACGTCATTCCATGCATTCCAAAATTTCCATAGTGTCGTGCACAAAACCTGTGAATTAAGAACAACACTATCTTCCAATATAACCAACATCCAATCATTAATTTCCATCCCCTTGGGAATACGATGACCCATCGGGGAAGAAAAACATGTTGCTTTTGCAAAATCGCACCTCATGAATATATGCTCCACTGTCTCAAGAGCAAAGTTACAAAATGGACATAAGATATCAAGGGCAACACCTTTATCTTGGATATTGACTTTGTAGGGAGAATGTTCTTTGCGAGACGAAACAAAAAGTTTCAGATTCTAGGAAGTATCAGGAACTTCCATATGAACTTCAACAACTTCTTAAAAAGAATGGACAAGGGCCTGACCTTTTAGCTGCTTTAGTGTGCTGTAGGAGGTGATACGTAGAACGCACCAAATACTCACCGGTTTTCTCAAAACTCCACATCCTTCTATCTTTAGGATGCCTCAGATACAAGGGAATACTCAATATTTTTTTCTTCCATGGGACAGAATAAGGTCTCGACTTTCTCCATGATCCACGCACCCAAGTCCTCATCTATAAGTTCCTTCACTCTAGCATCAGGACCAGAATTTGGAATAGAGATAACAGGCTTGAAACCAAAATTATGAGGTAACCAGCTATCATACCACATCTGCACCTGCTCTCCATTTCTTATTCTCCATCTCATTCCTTTCGAAACCACGTCCTTTGCACTAAGTATGCTTCTCCATGTGAAACTTGGGCTGTAGCCAACTGTAGCATCACTAAGAGGACTGTTAGGATAATTCCTGCCCTTGAACACCTTCCCCATTAACTAGTTTTCATCTGCTACTAATCTCCAATAGTGTTTCCCCAGAAGACTGGTATTGAAGTCACTTATTCCCCTAAAGCACAAGCCTCCCTCTCATTTCGCCCGAGCAAGCTTCTCCCAACTCATCCAATGGATCTTTCTATTACCTTCTTTCGAGCCCCACCAAAACTTCACAATCAAACCTTCAATTTCCTAGAAGCAGCTCTCAGGGAGCTTGTACCAACTCATGATATATCTAGGTATTGCTTGAGCTACCACTTTTATAAGCACCTTCTTCCCCACCCTCGATATAAAATTTTCCTTCCACCCCTTGATCTTCTTCCACACCCTCTCAATAACCAGCACGAATATCTCCTTCTTTGACCTCCCAAAAACAACAGGCAGTCCCAAACATTTCATGTGGCTTATGAAAGTCTTTACTCCCATCCCGCTACAGGATCATCACTTTAACATCATCTCACACGTTTTGACTGAAATAAGCCTTATATTTATCTAGGTTTACCACCTAGCCCAAAGACATTTGGTACATCTGAAGGATATCCATCACGCAAGGTGCTTTAGTAGAATTTGTTCTAGCAAAGAGCAAAATGTCGTCCACAAAAAAAGAGATGCAAAACGACAGGTGCTTTTCTAGACACCTGAATTCCATTCAACTTTCCCTTCTTAACCTCCTGCTTAATCAAACCTAAAAAAATGTCAGCACACAATATAAAAAGATATGGGGATAAAGGATCCCCTTGTCGGAGTCCCCTCTTTGGAGTGAAGCTTTTGCTGGCCTGACCATTAATAAGAACTTGATACGACACCGTGGAAATACACCTATTGATGAGGCTGATCAGATGCTCAGGAAAGCCCATGGTCCTTAAAGTGGCAGTCACAAATTCCCACTCTAAACGATCACACGCCTTGGACATGTCGAGCTTTAAATCCATGACTCCCTTCTTTCCCTTAGTCTTCTCGAGCCAATGAAAACACTCCATTGAAACAAGCACATTATCCGAAATCAACCTTCCTTGGACAAAGGCGCTTTATTCCTCATCCACCACCTCCGGCAGGATCCTCTTCAATCTATTGGCAATAGCCTTCATGACCACTTTCATGGCCACGTTGCACAAGCTAATTGGTCGAAAGTATTTTGGAGAAGATAGTTTCTTGCACTTTGGAATCAGAGCTATAATGGTCTTGTTCAACACCCCTGGGTCCTTGTTTTTGTTAAGAATATCCAACGCCATCTTTGTTACATCCGATCCCACAATGTGCTAGAGTTTTTGAAAGAATAACACCGAGAGTCCATCGGGGTCGGGGCCTTCAAAGGATGCATTTGAAATATCACTTCTTTAACTTCCTGGGCAGAAAACTTGACTTCACACCATCTAACATGTTCCTCCTTAAGTTTTCAACGAATTACCTCACACGTTTCCTAAATGTGAGAAGGAAAAGAGGTAGAGAACACTTTAGAGAAATAATTGATTAGAAGTCTCTCACAATTGTCACTCCCCTCCACCAAAAACCATTATCATCTTTTAAGTTTCTTAACAGTTTTAGTTCTTCTTCTTTGGTCAACTTTAGCATGAAATAATTTTGTGTTTCGATCGCCATGGCTCTGCCACACTGCTCAACTCTCTTGCCTCCAGATAACTTCCTCCATTTGCAGAAGATTATTGTGTTGAACTTCGAGGGCTTTAAATGTATTAATGCTCTCCTGATTTGCTGCCCACCTATTCTCATCCTTTAGTAACGTATCAACTCCTGAAATCTCCTTTTCCACTGCCCCTGCTTTGTATTCTTTGAAGTGATCATCAAGTTCCTGCATAACTTGAATTTGTTGGTGTCCCTGCCACGAGTTCCCATTCCACAGTTGGCCCACAAGCTTTTCACACTTTGGATCTTTAATCCAAACCTCCTTAAATATGAAAATATGCCTTCTCTTCTTGTTGCTCTCCTCCAACTCAGCTTCAAGATCAATTCTAATAATCGCATGGTCGAAACCATGACGGAGGAGATGGAGGATCTTTATAGGGGAGAATTTATTAATGAAGCTAGTAGACGCAACAACTCTATCAAGTCAACATTGTATGTTTTCACTACCTTGTCTCCCGTTCAACCAAGTAAACATATAGTCTTCGAATCCTAAATCAGTTAGACCACATAACTCCAAGGTTTGACGACCCCACGAAAATTGAGATATAGATCTTCTAATCCCTCCAGCTTTCTCATTTTCAGCAATGGTGTCATTAAAGTCATAGAAACAAACATGCTCACTTCCTTTGTTAACAACCTCCTCCAGCAGCATCCATATTCTCCTCTTGTTAACCTCCTTCGGAAAACCATATACCCCATTAAAGAACCACTTATGATTGACATCCTCCTCCTCCACCGAACCTCCAACCAATATGACTGTTGGTGAAAGAAAGAATATCAACATGTACTTGCTTCTTCGACATCAATGCTAGCTCTCCAGCTCGATTTCTACCACTTCCCATGCATTCCACCCACTGAAAACACTCAAAACCACATTTGTACTTAACCCTCAAAACTCCATCTTTCATCAAGCGAGTTTCCATAAGGAAAATCATGTTCGGATTTTCTAAACGGAGGAGCCTCAACAAGACTTTAACTACACGGGGACTCCCTAACCGTCAGCAATTCCAACTTAATATTTTCATTGTATTAGGAGGTATTGGGCATCCAACACCACCTCTGGTTCATATGACAAAATAGCCTCCTTAATCTACTTTCTTTTCTTTTCACTATTCCCACATTTCTCCACTGTCCCCTCAGCAACCAAAGCTTCCATTAATTTCCTTTTCTCAAAATCCACTTCCCCTGTTTTAGATTGATTTATGTCCGCTTTTCTAGCCCCTTTCTTTCTTATCCACTTCTTCCTTCTACCACTTGCCTCCCTAGACATCGAGGCCCTTTCTTTCCCTTTGTTAGATATGTTAACAGCTTCCAACGCTGCCGATTCAATCTCCAATATGTTATTCTTGGAGATGCTTTTACCTATTAGAGGGTAATTTAGTATTTGTCATTTGTAGGATATTCTCATTGGACCCTATGTGGCATTCTTATCTTTACTATTTTTGTGTATAAATAGGTGTACTAGGTTTACATTTAATACAATCAACTTCCTTCAATCATTAGTGGTAGCTTTTAGCATTTATTCCTTTTCTCTCTTCTTCCTCAATTTCATCACCTTGCACTAACAAATTGGTATATAGAGCTCTTGGTTTGTTCTGGAATTCTGGGAAACACGAGTGATAGTGAGCTGTCTGTTTGATTTTTGAATCTTGAACAGAAATCTGAAACAGAATCACACTGATTCTGTGGGTTTGGGAAACACTGAGTGAGAAATCTGAGATCTGAGTTTTTGTGCAAGGTTTAAGATGAATGGAGGCAGTAGTTTAAACACTAAACTTCCAATTTTTTATGGCAAAAACTGGAACAAATGGAAGATACAAATGCGTGTGCTGTTTGGTGCTCAGGATGTTCTGGACCTTGTTTCTGAAGGTTATGTTCCAGTTGCAGCAGATGCTACTGAAGAACAAAAATTAGAAGAAAGAGCTAGGAGGAAGAGGGATCAGAAAGCTCTGTTCTTTATCCATCAGTGTGTGGATGAAAATGTGTTTGAGAAGATTGTTGATTCGACGACGTCGAAAGGGGCATGGGATATACTGACCATATGTTATGGTGGTGATGTGTCAGTAAAGAAGGTAAAGCTTTAGTCTCTGCGAAAACAATATGAAAATCTCAGCATGACGAATAGTGAGAAAGTTTCTGAGTACATCTCTAGAATGATTCTGATCACTAATGAGATGAAGGCTTGTGGAGAAACACTTTCTGAACAGATAATCATAGAAAAGATTCTAAGGTCACTTACTCCTCAGTTTGATTACATTGTTGTTTCTATTGAACATTCTAAAAATCTGGAAACCATGAGAATATAAGAGTTGCAAAGCAGTCTAGAAGCGCAAGAGTTACGTCTGACTGAAAGAACTTCTGAGAGGGAAGTGGAGCAAGCTCTGAAAGCTTCTTTTGTCAAGAAGGATCAGAAGCAGAATAGACATGGTGATAAATTCCAGAAGTCAGAAACCTCAACTTCTGATGAAAAGAAATATCAGAAGGGAAAGGAAAGGTATGACAAGAAGAAGGTTCAATGTTACTGTTGTAAACAGTTTGGCCATTTTACCAGAGACTGTAGAAACAGAGGAAGGAAATCAGAAGAAGCAAATATAGTCAGAGAAGATTCTGATGATGAACTTGTGCTACTGATGGCTTCTGATTCTGATGGAAACTGTTCAGAAGATTGGTGGTATATGGACACTGGATATTCAAACCACTTGACTGGGAACAAACAATGGCTGATATACTTTGACTCCAGAAGGAGAACAAAGATCAGATGTGCTGATGATAAGTACCTTAATGCAGAAGGTGTGGGAAATGTCAGAGTCAGAGTGAAAAATGGAAAAAACATTCTGATCAAAGATGTTTGGTATGTTCCTGGAATTAAAAGCAATCTGATGAGTGTGGGTCAGCTTATTGAAAAAGGTTTTTCAGTGGTTATGAAGGAAAACCTCTTGACGTTGTATGATTCTAATCAGAAGTTGATTATGAAGTCTGAGCAGGGAAGCAACAGAACATTCAAGGTGAATGTAGAAACTTCTGAAGCGGAGTGTCTTAGTGCAGAAGGCGCTGAAGCTGACAGTAAGCTGTGGCACAAGAGGTTGGGGCACTTGAACTATAGAAGCTTAGGGCATCTAAGTTCTAAGAAGCTCGTACATGGCATTTCGAAGATTGTGAAGCCTCATAAGTCATGTGAGATATGCATGAAAAGCAAGCAACCCAGATTGCCATTTGCATCAAAAGTAGCCCCCAGAGCAAAGCATGCTCTGGGAGTAGTACATTCTAATGTGTGTGGACCATTTCCAGTACCTTCACTTGGAGAAAAAAAATATTTTGTGTCTTTTGTGGATGAGTTCACAAGAATGACATGGGTAACACTCATCAAGTTCAAGCATGAAGTGTTTACTGAGTTTCAGAAGTTCAAGGTGAAGGCTGAGAAGCAGAGTGGTCAGAAGCTGAAGATTCTGAGAACAGATGGTGGAGGTGAGTATAAATCTATAGAGTTCCAGAAGTTCTGTGAGGAGAATGGAATAGAACATGAGGTTACTGCTCCATATACTCCTCAACACAATGGTCTTGCTGATAGAAGAAACAGAACTTTGCTTGATATGACCAGAAGTATGCTGAAAGAGAAGAAGTTACCTCACATGTTATGGGGAGAAGTTGTTGCCACATCAGCATATGTTCTGAATAGGTGTCCAACAAAGAAGCTGAAGGAAATTGTTCCTTTAGAAAAATGGACTGGAGACAAGAAAAGTGTTAGCCATCTGAAGGTGTTTGGTTCTGTATGCTACAAACACGTTCCAGAGGCTAGAAGATGAAAACTGGATGATAGAAGCAAAACAATGTTACTGGTGGGGTACCACAGTACAGGTGCCTATAAGCTTTATTGTCCAGAAACCAACAAAGTTGAAATCAGCAGAGACGTCATTGTGAAAGAGTCAGAAACATGGGATTGGAACAAGCTTCAATCAGATTCTGGTGTAGCGCCAACACAGGGTTAGTTTCTGAAGATCCTTCAGAAAGTTCTGAAGACGAGTCAGAGTCAGAAGATGATGAATCTAAAGAAGAGTCAGAATCTCAGGGAGATTCTGATAGTGGATCTGATCCATATTCTGATGGTGATCCAGAATCTGGTGGTGATTATACTTCTGGAAGGGAAAACTCTGAAGACATGGGGTCTGGAGAACAAGTTTCCAGAAGTAACTCTGAAGGTGGTAATTATGAAGGAAATAATTCTGGACAAAGTCCAGAAGCTAGCATTGTTCCGAGTTCTGGAGAAGCTTCAGAATAAGATCAGAGGCCACAGAGAATCAGACGAATACCAAGTAGGTTTGCATATTTTAGCATGTTGCATGATACTGAAGTAGATTCTGAAGGAGAAATAGTTCAGTGTGCCATGCTAGTAGATTCTGAACCAGTGGGTATTGAAGAAGCTCTCAAGAAGAAAGTATGGCTGAATGCCATGAAAGAAAAACTTGAGGCTATTGAAAGAAACAAGACTTGGAAGCTAACAGAACTTCCAAAAGGCAAGAAAGCCATCAGCGTCAGATGGGTTTTCAAGCAGAAGCTAAAGCCAGATGGATCAATTGGCAAACACAAAGCGAGACTAGTGGCCAGAGGTTTTCTTCAGAAATCTGGACTAGATTACTTTGAGGTGTTTGCGCCTGTAGCTAGACACGAAACAATCAGACTGGTGATTGCTTTAGTTACAAACAGAAATTGACCTTTGATACATCTGGATGTGAAGTCTGCATTTCTGAACGGTCCATTACAGGAAAAATTTTATGTGTCACAACCTCCTGGATTTGTGAAAAGGAATCAGGAAGGGATGGTATACATGTTAAATAAAGCTCTGTATGGACTGAAGCAAGCGCCCAGAGCTTGGAATTTGAAGATTGATTCGTTTTTCAAGGAACAAGGGTTTCAGAAGTGTGAGATGGAGTATGGTGTTTATGTTCAGCACACTTCAGAAGGTAATATGATTCTGGTCTATTTGTATGTTGATGACATATTACTCACAGGAAGTTCTGAACAAGAAACAACTGCGTTCAAGAAAGTTCTGATGAATGAGTTTGAGATGACAGATCTTGGAAAAATGAGTTTCTTTCTAGGGATGAAATTTATATACTCTGAGAAAGGAATCATTTTACATCAGAAGAAGTATGAACTAGAGCTTCTGAAGAGATTTGAGCTAGCAAATTGCAAGGTTGCTATCACACTTGCTGATACGAATCAGAAGATGGACTCTGATTCTGATGGAGAGGATGTGGATACTACAACCTTCAAACAGATGGTTGGTTCTCTGATGTATTTGTGTAATACCATACCCGATATTTGCTATGCAGTTGGAATGGTCAGCAGATACATGAGAAAACCAAAGTGGTCTCATTACCAAGCTGCTGTCAGGATTTTGAGGTATGTAAAAGGAACTCTGAAATATGGAGTGTTATTTCCTTCTGGAGGAAAGATCAAATCATAACTTTTGAGTTATTCTGATTCTGATTGGTGTGGAGATAGAGTTGACAGAGGAAGTACTTCTGGGTACTTATTCAAGTTTCTGGGAGGTCCAATTTCTTGGAGTTCCAAAAAACAGCCAGTTGTGGCTTTGTCAACATGTGAAGCTGAATACATTGCAGGTGTTGTAGCTGCTTGTCAAGCAGTTTGGCTTCTGAATCTGCTGCATGATCTGAAGGTTGAAGTTGAGGAACCTCTGAAGCTGATGATTGATAATAAGTCTGCAATTAATCTTGCAAAGAATCCAGTGCTACATGGAAGAAGCAAGCACATTGAGACGAAGTATCACTTTCTCAGAAGTCAAGTGCAGAAAGGAGTATTAGAAGTTCTGCACTGTAGCACTCAGAAGTAGCTGGCAGATGTTCTGACAAAGGCGATAAAAACAGACCAATTTCTTCGCTTGAGAGATGAAATTGGTGTTGTT